TGAATTAAAAGTGAATATACAAATCGATACTGAGCTATGGTTTGCACCATATATGGTCGTTGATGACGCAATAAACCAACGACTCGAGGCACGTCCACTTCCTACAAAATAATTAAAATAATAATAACAGATAAGTAGGTAATGAGCATAAAAACAATTTTTGATTATAAAATAGGTATCTCCTATAATACTAAATTCATTTATATACTTTTATTCATATTTACTTTATTATACATAAATCGTGTTACATAAAAATGTAACTTTGATTTAAAAGCTCCACAAACGGATTGTTGATATTTGTATAGCAGACTGAATACTGATATTATTTATACGTATCACATAATTTATATTATTATCATATTATATTATAACATTGTTTTTGAAGAATATTACATGTGTTGCCATCTATTGTCAGGTATGTATATCACTATATTAAAAAAGTTACTTAATCTTGAAATATTCTGGTTAAATGGCACTAATATTAATTCATTTATAAAATCATAAGGTTTTTAGTTAACGCTCGATTTTACTACCTATCAAATTTTCGTACCGGGGACTTTAAATTAAACCGATTCTTAAGGAGTAAACTCCAAAACTAGAGACAGAATCACATAAATAATTAGTTTTCTAATGTTCGTGAAAAATTATTTAACATTCTATTTATTTTCTGTATTGGGCCTATGCCCGTTGATTTTCTCCAATAAATAAATAACAAATCCAATAGCCCTAAATCAATATTTCTTAAACCAACTGAAGTTCTACAAATTGAAGCAACTATTTAATAAAGAAGGTACAGAAAGAATTAATATAAAATATCTAATCACATTGCAAAACCGGCGAGTAACATTTTTAATTTATGCATTGGAAAGTCAATTTACACTAAAAATAGTAGAGATATATCAATTTACAGATCAGCAAGAAATATTTATAATATCACATCATTAAAGCTTTTGACATAGTCGACTCAATTATACTATGTAGGCATAAGAGGTAAAGCGTACGATCTATTGAAAAGTTACCTTACGATTGGTAATAGGAAACAAAGATTAAAAAATAAATGAAAGTGATAGCGTATATAAAAATGTAATCATGGATGTACCGCAAGGCACCATTTTAGGACCATTGCTCTTTATATTGTATGTGAATGACATGTTTCAATTGGTAAACAACGAATCTAATGTTGCGCGTGCTGATGATAGTTATAATTTCTGTAGAAAATAAATCGTCAGAGACACAACTAAAAATGCATTATTGTTATTATTATGTTTTGAAGTGATAAGTACTTCTTTTGGGGTGCACAACTAACAAAAATTCCATAGTATGAAATTAATAGCGTGGAGAAGCAAAACCTATTTTTAGTGCTTTCAGATACCAAAATTGACATCAATGCGCGCTCTTTATTACATATAACCAGTAAACAAAATAAAAATAAATTCTTACCTGATTATGATCTAAGGTGTATAACAGTAAATCTGCGAGGATAGTAAGACCAGTCCTGCCTACACCAGCTGTACAGTGAACGAAAACTGGTGGATTCTTATTATGCCCAAGAGGTATTTCATCTAAAGAATGTTGCTGGACGGATTGCAACTCTTCAAGAAAACCAAGAAAGTGAGCCACACTATGAGGACAACCATGCTCTCCCCAATCAGTATAATGCAGGTGCCACAAAGTTCTGTACCTTCGAGAAGTTACTTGACAAAGACGAACCTTGCTTGTAATACAGTGCCCCGTTTTTTGCGAAAATTCCCACCAAATCTGATAATCCTACATAAAAAAAAACATTCTTATAACAACTAAAAAGGTGACATAAGTTTTATAAAAGAAATCACTTATTTTCAACATTTAAAAAGTCAGATACATTATTCTAATTTCAATGTAAATTTTCGAAATTTGAAGTTTGACCCTAAGATAATGAATAGCAACGATTTTCCGAAAATAAAACCTCTCTGTATTTTATCAATCAAATTAAACCTTACCGAACTTGCATTAATACATCTCTCATTGCTATTTGGTAAATAATTTATATCTTCTGTGGGATCTGTTAGTTGCACCATAAGATAAACTTCTGCTTCCCAAACACATTGCCAGAAATGTGGTATGGTAAGTTTTGTAGGACACTGGGCAGCAATATAAAATCGTTGTTTACTACCCACGGTTGCCTGTAATTTTAGTTCTTAAAAAAGGTTTTACCAGAAAACTTTATAAATATTTTTGATTTGTGATTGCACTTTCCTAAAGAAATGAAAAATATATTCTTCGTGGTACAACGTTTACAAAATAATAATTGTCAGTAATGTAGTACCGTTATATGAGATGCATTGATATATCCCGATCGATTTTCTTTTGTTGGAGTCAGTCTTAATCTGTTTTCTTCATATGGCAGGACGTCTTTAAACCTGTTGAATTTCGCGTTATCTGGATGCAAAGCAGTCGAAAAATCAGCGTTCTGTTTCTTTTTTGGAATTTTATCAAATTCAAAGAACAGTTGGCTATCCGCTAATTTGTTTTCCAGTAATTGACACTAACAACAAAACAGTATTATTATACAGTATATTACAACTAAACCAACAATAATTATTTTAAAAATTACTTTAATATTTACCATTGTCTCTTTACTAATAGAAGGTGGAAGGGGATGCATACGGGGTAATCCGGTCGACCACCTGTGCCTGTTATTACTTTGATTTTTATCCTTATTTTTAGCTTTTTCTCTGCCAAGAGTGGCACTCTTTATTTTTTCGCTTGACTTACTTCTACCACCTATCAATATTCCCCATCTTTTCTTTTTACTTTTGCCCGCACTCCCATTTGATGAATTTAAATCGCTGAAAGTTTCCCCACTAACATTACTGCCATCAGCAACAGAATTATTTGTCGAACTAGAATGAATCGATGAGCTTTTATTCGCTAAGAAACTGTTACTTTTCTGACTTAAAACGCAAGATAAATCGCTTGTAGTACTTTTGTTTATTTGCTTTTGGTAAGCATGTGTCGAATTTAAGCCGTTTAGATTTTGTGTCGATCGATTTGCACTGTTGGTGCTACTTGAGGCATCCTTCAAATTGTTCAAGCTAAGGTTTGTCTTGGACGTACTTACGGTTGTAGGATTATTCTGTATGTTCGCGTACAGATTCTCCCGCTTTTCTTGATGATTATTATTTTCAATATTTTGGGACGATAATTTCACTTTGTTCTGTAAGGCGTTAACAAGGGCATGATTGATCACTTGGCTGATTTCAGGGGCAGATTGAATGCTTTGAGCACGCGATCGCATTTGTGAATTCTCGTTCTGCCACGGCAACGGGATATTTTCGTAAATTGGTTCGTTGGTGTTATTTGGTTCGTGTAATCTGCTTTGATTGGTACGTGTGACTACGAAGCCAGAACTAGGGAGCTGATTTTCTTGTAAAATTTGTTTCATGTTAGCAGGCATACAGTAAATGATATTACCGTGTTCATCATAGACTTTTTTGATGTGCTTTGTAATATTTGGATTATCAACTATAAGAGCCTGAGGACGTCCCATAATGTTGCTATCGAAAATCGACGCTAGATTTTCGTAAGTTCCGTGTTGCGGTGCGGGCAGGTAACTGTGCGATCGATGTATGGGATGTTGATTTGTGTAAACAGTCGTTCCATACTGCCTCAAATAATGTTGATGGTTTAGTATTCCTGTATTGGACACTAGATCAGGACTCGAACCTGACACTAATGAGTGAATGAAATTACTATGTGGCTTAGCATATTGTTGGGAAATGCCCGGTAAATCTGGGGTTGAGTTAGAGCTAATTCTGTTACTAGGATATGGGGGTGGTGGTTTATATAGGTTTAATAGGCGCATTCGTTCTGCAAGATCAATAAGTTGTTGGTTATCTGTGTTAAGAACTTGCGATTGTGAATAACTGGTCTTATATAAACCACTCATGATGTTCTTTTGTTCAATATTGTTGTGCGTTACGTCAGGATAACGTAAATGAGAAGAGTAAGTGTCTGGCTGATGGATTTCTGGTTGAGAACTATATAACATGGCACGTGCGTTTCTAAGGGGCTCGCGGGCAGGAGGTATGGCGCTAGAAGAGTTGCGGTACTTTTGTTGTACTGCAATATCATAGTCGGGGGCGGGTCTATAAGATGGCAGTAGTGAACGCAATTTATCTATGTCGGTCGGTGTATTCAGGTCAAGGCACGACGTGGATTGTGCACGTTGGTTTAATGCCTGTAAAGAAGATGAACGATTCCACGGCTGAGAGTTCGTTACATCCTCGTAACTTTCTAATTTACATAAACTGCCCTAAAAACAATAATAGTTTTAAAAAATTTGTATTACAATTTGAAGAGAACTTTATATTGTAAGAGAAAAACTTCTAGTGAGCGAAGAATATCATTTAATATCAAAATTAATTTTAAAGTTTTGCTAAATTTCAACGTTGTAATCTACTTTATTGCATTTGGTTTAGAACGGTTTTTTATTTTAGTTCAAAACCTATATTTTAGTATATTTTTAATGGCTCAATGCATGGGTTTTTTGAAAATGCACAGGGAAATAATTTCAAAGACTATTCATATCTTGGAAAACAAATATTTAGAATCGACTTCCTTCGCCGATTAGGGCTTAGCATAAACAAATCTGCAAAAGTACACGCTTAAACTTTTAAAACTAAATCCGGCTTTTCTTGCAATTTTAGTTATAAACATTCATAACTTTTCAAAACTTGGTATTTTTGACACATTGAGGGCATCTTTTAATATTTTGTTTTTTTTTTATAAAAATATGACAAGATTGCTTTCCAAATTTAATATAAACCTACTTCAACATGCGTTTGCTGAAAAATGGGGGGTCCTTTTTCAGTATGTTCTGGACTGTTACTCATTTCATACTGCCGATAAAACATATGTTGCAGTACACAAAATCTCCAAGCATTTTTAGCACATTCTACATCAGAAAAATGAAATTCTGTCCTTTCAGAACCAATAACAGATTCTATAGCAAAATCTCTCTTGTGATTAATGACATTACTTATATCTATCCAACTAAAAATAATAAATTTTATAATTTAAATTAAATTTATTATAGGATCAAACAAGGTGTGATTTACCCATAGCTTCGTCCCTCTTTCCCATTGGGATAGAAAACAGTTACACCAGTTAAAGAAACTCCAAGTACAGCATCCTCATTAGAATGATCTTTAACTGAAAATAATTCCTGTCCGTAACCATCTAATTTTTGGCAGGCACAAATATAATATTCTTCGGCAGTACCTTGAGGTAAACTGTGAAGAGCAGCATGCTGCCTAATAGCTGCATCTGTTAAAGTTTCCAGAAGAGTTGGATCTGTAAAGCTCTTTGGAAAAGATTATTAACATTAGTATTAAAAAATGTAATCTTTGATGGTATCACACCTTTGGAAATAGCTGAAAATCCTTTAAGTAATGGGCAGTATGTCTTTCCACATCATAATTTCCAAATTCAGCTTGCATGCAGTAACTGGCCAACTCCACTGCTTGTTGTGGTGTACATGATATTCGACCATCTATCACATCCATTTTTAATTGAAGAAAGTAGTGATATCTACCACCATCATTAAACAAATAAAATATGTTTTAATGAAACAATATTGTTACCTACCTGGTCACTTCATCATTAAGTAATTTACATCCTGATAAAATGTAGTACATCACTCTTAAATATAAGCATAAATTTCTAGAATGTTTGTCAAGCTGGCGTTTAATAGGTTTATCAAGCTCCAGCCAACATAAGTAGCGATCTTTACTCCGACTCATGTATTGCAAACCAAAAAATTTGGGTTGATTAAGTCCTAATTTCTGGCAGACTATATCTAAACAATCTTGTCCGGTACTTTCTGAAGATAACGTGCATTCTATATTTGTACTATCTAACATCTCAACAGATATAACGAATAGAGTTTTAGAGACAACACTGTAATGCCTCGACTTCTTCAGTTTCAGTTTAAACGGCATCTTCTTAAAATGTATATAACGCCCCCTGAATAAAGAATAGGTTAGAATATTGGAATTTAATGTAACACAAACAAATGAGTTGGTTTACTAAAATGAACAACCAAGTACGTTCGTTTACTTAATGTATTAACTAAATTACATATAGAAGCAAAAGTCTGTGAATAGGCTGAAAAATATAATTTAGATGCAGTTTGTTTGTTTTGTAAACATAATTACACTATAAACGTACCTGCTTATTAAAATGTTATCTGTACAATAACAATTTTTATTATTATTAGGAGACTTATATGGACTTGTACTGTCAATTATAATTCATTTAAATTCTGTTCACATAATGTTTAAAAGTTTACAAATCTAGACCGTCGTTGTCATTGACATTCCAAATTACTCAATTGATAACATTGGAATTTTTACATTTTTCAGTAATACTTGTAATAATCTGCTGTCGTGTAGTCAATGTGTTTTCTATGATTTAGCGTCATTGTTATCGTTTATACTGTACTTTTAAAGGTAGATTTATGTATAACAGACAGAGAGAGAGCTACTACCAGTGAAACTTTAGTTTTCTTTACGGTCACAAAATGGTATTAATAATAGCAGTTCACTCTTTCACCAAAAGAAGCGCTGACGAGTAAGGGTACATATGGATGCATTCCATTTTTTGTAGGATAATAAATCTAACTGACCCAGTATTTTTTGAAGTGTGTACGATGAAAAAGTACATTAATAAAAAATATCAATCGGTGGATTACAACTTGTTCCGTTGATCTGTGCTGTTATAATTCGCTATCACTCTGAAGGTAGCCAAAAATTTCTAGTTTATAATGATTTATATATCTGTTAAAATAAGGCTTTTTATATTTCTAATTATTGAAGTTCTAACTTTGCTCATTGGATACTTTAATTCGTTTTGAGAGAAAGACATATTAATAATTGGTAAAGAAAGCGTCTTTTGTTTAATCAAATTAAATTGGTCAATGAGTAAGAGGTTTGAGCAAATTACAAAAGCACTTTAGTATTTTTTTGCAATCTGATAGCAAATTATAAAAATTACACTGATGAAGAAGAACTGGGTAAATTATAATCCGTCGGTTAATTCTTTTAATTATGATTGATACTATTGTGCGCTGGAAAATCCGGTCACATAATACATACACATTATAATCATAAAAAACAATTATGATCATTCTTATGTTATCAATCGTTCATATTACATGTTCATATTATTATTGTTAATATTATGATCTTGTCTATGATGTCATGGATATGATCCCTTTGTGTATCTATTATCTATGGATATGATCTATGATTATGATTATTGAGGTTACATGCATGAAACAAAGCTATGAAATAAAAAAAGTAAACAAATATGTTCAGTGCCTTAAAACTGTTGAAACCATTTGGAGAATTATTTGAATCACGGTTAAATTGTAATAGAAAATATCGTATTCATTTATCGAAGAGTCGAAGGCATAGATCTAATCCGGAAATTCAGTCCGAAGATGATTTCGAAGAAGAGGGAGAAGCAGATTTTATGAACTTAAATTTATCTTATGACAAACACGTTGATGAATTGAAAACATTAAAGGAAAGAGAGAAACGTTTAATTGTGAGGCAAAAATATTTTAAACAAACGTTGCCTAATTTTCTAACTTGGAGCGAGAAAGAACAAATAAGGTACCTTCATCATTCTGATCCAGAATTGTGGACATTTGAAAAGCTTTCTGATGGGTTTCCTGCTTTACCAAGAGTAATAAGTGTATGTATAATTATTAATGCAATTTATTTAATTATTTAGGGTGGTAGCTGTTACATCTTGAAACTTGTGTGTGTTTTATTTTAATAATCATACAGTATTTAATATATCAAAAATAGTTTTATAAGAAAAACTTTTATTTTCCAGAAAGTTATTAAATCATCTTGGACTAAATTGAATGATAATAAAATTAAAGCTCATGATATTTCTGTTCAAGAAAATTGGGATTTATTCAAACAAGGAAAATTATCACGTTTACCAAATGAATTAGTTGATCATTTAAAACAATTCCAACAAAGAAAAATCAACATAGGAGAAAAGTTTGCAGCAAGAAATGAGAGAAGCCAGAAAGAGGAAACACCAGCCGGAGAATTTTCTGAGATCATTAAAAGCTATGATCGTTTGAAAAATAAAAAGACAGATGAGACTGTAACGAGTAATGACATCAATATTTTCGATTATAAAAAAGTACAAAAAGAAACATATTTGATAACTCCTCCTGATCATTTTGAAAATAAAAGGCATGTTCAACTGAAATTTTTAGAATCAGAAAATAAAATTAGAACTATCCCCAACGATTTACTTGAAAAAAATGAAGTAGAATATAGGAAATGTTCTGAAACTAAAGTAGTTTCTATGGGTAGACAAAAAAAGGACTATAGTTTCTTACTTTATCCTCAAAAAATACGAATTCCTGCTAAAGTAAGGAAATCAGGCTGCATTTATAAATTACAAGACAGTTTTTATGATGATGATGGAGAGTTTTTGTATAGGGTTCCTGGAATGCTGTAATAAAATAATTGAAGTTGTATTATTTGTTTCTATTAATAATTTAAAACATGACTAGCAATTTAGCATAAAAAAAGTTATAATTACCAATCTGTAAAATTAAAATTATTTCCTATTTATTTAACATACAGGATGATTTATGAAATTTATATACATCTAGGCACATTACTAGGTAACAAAATATAAAACAACATAAAAATGAAACAAACAGAAAATGAAATTTGATGATTTCATGTTCTTAGAATTATGTTATTAACTAATACTGTATTACAAAAGAGCTTAGTAATATAAATACAATTCAAAATAAGAATGAAGGTTTGATTTAAAATGAATCTTATTGTTTTAAAAATATTGCACTTACTTTGCTCTCGATTTTATGAATTAAAATATAAAGGATTTAGCACATTGTACAAAATTACTTATAAAAGCTATACACATTTTTAAGGGTACACCTCATTAATTAACACAAAAGTAATTAAAAATTAAAACACCTGATACGGTTAATTATTATTCCTATATTAGAGTATTTCTGATCAAACAAATGTGAAAATATGTGTCTATTTTATAAAAAGGTCCAATAACATTAATGGTATATTTGATAAATTTTATTTTTTAAGTAAATGTATTTTTATATGTTCAGAAAAAGGAACATTTTAAAACAAATCATTTTGTTTGTGGTTTTTATGTATTATATGCCTAATTCCAAATACTCCAACGTCTAAGGCAATTAATGTCAAAATTATTCAAAAAAGGTAAGAGTATTAATTAATAACTCTATATATAATTAATAACATTCACAGTTATTTTGTGTAATTAATTACTGCTGTTTTAATCTATTAACTTAGTTTTAAATAACAATAACTTGTGTATAAAAAAGATACTTTGGTATTTACCTAAAACAAGCGTACTTTCAGAAGATAAAAAAGGCAATTATGCAAGACTAATTCCTTGGATCCACGAACTTAAATCGCTAGTTTCGTCACAATTCATGACGATTTCTTCAGGTGCATCTGGAGAAAGCAGTAATTGTGCGGCTGTTCGTCCGGTTAAATATGCACCATGAACAGTAGAATAAAAATTACTATGTGTGTGTTCTCCAGCAAATAATACGACAGGCTATAAAACACATTAATAAAATAGTTATTTATTTATCGGCTTTCACCAGGAAATAGTTAAATAAACGAAAAAGTTTATTTGTTTATAGGGACTCGGTTAACTGGATTATTTGCCGTATAAGTCATTTGCGATACACTCATTAAGTATTTCAGTAAAGCTGGAAGGAATTTATCAAATAAAATTCGTGACAATTACTGCCGTCCGAAATAGGACTACTTTGAATACCTTTTTTCTACAACCAATCATAAAACATGAAGTACATAATCTTTATGATATTGATGTAAAAAAATCGACTGGCTCAGATCAAATCACACTGAGAGTTCCAAAGGTTGTGCAAAAATACATAACTTTAGTAATAAGCACATTGATTAATATGCGCTTTGCAAAAGATAACCAGATAGTTTAAAAACTGCATTAACAACTCCTGTATTCAAACCTGGAGCATAAATAACATTTTTGAAAAGTGTATATTAAACATAACGATCTGTTTTGCTGATAAGTACAGGATACTGCACAAAAACTAATTTGAATTTAGAAAAATAATGTCTATAAACTATTTAACACATTAATAGCTCGCTTAGATTTGGAACAAGCTTTTAATACTATATTACTACTTTGTTGAACATATTAATAAAATATGGAAGTACAAGTGTAATACATGACCTAATTCACAGCTACCTTAATCAGCAAAAATTGTTATAAATACTTCTTTTTGTAACAAAATTTCATTAACTTTATTTAAATTAGATAAATGCACATAATCTTACTTTTGCCTGATTCCTTTCACTGTACAAGGGCTGTGCTAAATTTTCAATATCAACTTGAGAAGAGCCAACAGCAAGTGAAGTATACGACCCTCTTGTATATGGCTGACTAAACCAGCTAGTACTAAAATGCAAAAGAAGCTATATTATAATTTTAGTTTTCACGTTATTTATAATAGTTTTCAGCATTACATTTTAAAATTTAAAAATGGTTTTATTATGAAACAATATTAAGATTTATTCAAATGATTTTTAAGTATTTTGGAAAAATCAGGTAATATAATACTAAATGATAAAATGTTACTATTCTTTTTTTTTAAGAGTTGGTTTAGTAAAAAGAGCTTTACCAAACACAGTTTTTCGGCTTTGGTATAAAAGGATCATTCAAAAACTTTCTCAGTATTTCAGTACATTTATCTACAACTACATCGTTTGACAATTTTTCCATGTACTCTGCCTCCCTGCCAGAAATCCAACCCAGAAGCAGTGTGTCAGATATTTTAGTAAATGAATAAATTTTTTTAAACCAAATGTTTTTAATGTCCTGAGAATAATCGGTTGTATCCCACAGTAACATTACTTCTGTAATGTTTGGATTAAGAAAAGGTCTTTCATACTCTAATAATATTTTATCCACCGTTCCAAACAACAAATTGTTAATGGCTTCAATTTTGTGCTCTGGTAACTTAGGCTCAAATAGTGTATCATATTTGTGTTTCAAAACACCTAATGGCACTGTGCATATGACATGGTCAGCATAAAAATGTTTACCATTCTCACAAACAACTTTAACATTATGACTAGATGCATCACCATCACTGTCTTTTTTACAAGAATCAGGTGATTCTTCTATTACCGTTCTGTCTGAATCATCAGAATCATTTCCATTGCTTGTATTATTTTTATTCCAATAAATAGTTTTTACAGGATGTTCCTTTAAAATTGAAGATGATGGAATGTATCTTGTTAACGGCTCCAAAATTGAGCTATAACCACCTGGTAACACAATGTTTCCACCTTGTAGTTCAGTATAACTACCTAACTCTAGTAAGTCTATTTCTTTCATATCATCACAGCCAGAAATACAAGTCTCACGTTTCAATAAACAATCAAATATTAGCTCACGTAAATGCCGTTCATTTTTGTCTTTAAATTGTTCCAAATATAAATTTATTTCCAATTTTATATGATCACCTACACTATCTATACCATCAGGGGGTAAATACTGCGAAATAAAATATTCTTCGCATCGCTTAAGGAAGCAAAGATATGCTTCATAAATTTCTTGGAGAATTGGAAAGGGTACTTGTTTCCCAGCTTCCGTAGCAGCAACAATTTTGTGAGATTTTGGTATTTGTAATATGTCAACTAGACCCTGTTGCATAGCAAACTCATAAACTGGATTTCCTAATACACCATGTATCCAATTAGCACCAAGTTCCACTTTTTCGTTACCCATTTTAATTTGTACAATTCTTCCACCTAATCGCCTGCGAGCTTCTAACAACAAGAAATCTTTGAAACCATTTTTAATAAAATGATTGGCAGCAGAAAGGCCTGCCATTCCACCGCCAATAATTATGACGCCAACCTTTTTTCTGGCTTTATTTTTTAATTCTTCTTCATTTTTATCCATTATTCTAAGGTAGGTTATATTTACCCAGCCATTACGAAACAAACGTCAATGCCATTACTTATCTATCGTCATTACCATAGGTTATTACAGTTTCGTTTGGTCCATGGCATAGACTGTATACTTTATAGATTATCAGCTCGAACTTTTCAAAAATATGCTGCCCTCTGAAGTTGATGTCTAGTAGGTCACACCATGAGTCTACTGATATGTAGGAATTGCTCTTAATTTCGGCGCCATCTAGCAGTTAGTAGAATATCGACATATAGCGACAAATTTGAAAGTTGCAGTGCTACATAGATTCCCAAATATTTTTGTTCGGTGATCTATGCATTTCTGTAGGTATTAGAAAGGATTTGATATTTTTTAGATATCTTTAGCTATTTATTATCAGATGGCGCTTCAAGTTTGTTTTTGGTATGGAAAATTCAATTTTAAAAATTGTTAATTTTTAAGAATAGTTCCGGTAATAGTAAACATGGGTCAAATAGAATATATGTAATACAAAAACTACAAAATTTTAATGGGACTTTCCGATATTTTCATGAATGTGCAACTTCAAGAAAAACCGTTGAATTTTTAAAAAAGCCGTGATAGGGAGGCTTTACCTTGGAAAGTTAGTGGGTATTATTACATAAGTAGGATCAATTTATAAAATAATATCTAAAAATAGACGTGTGTATGTTTATATACTATGTTAAAGCAAATCTTCGAAAAAATGTTTATTTTAAAAACATAAATAGCCATTTTAGTAATATTCATTCATTACAGTTGAGGCTATGCTTGTAAAAACAAGGGGATAGTTAAGGATTTTATTTTACATTTCGACTGGCAAGCAACTGCAAATTACAAAAAGGTGTATCCCTCAAACATTACGTTTTATTTATTTATCCCTAAAAATCACCCCCACGACCGGATTTCGGTCAATAAAAAGGTGGCAAGATATACAGGGTGGGTCGTAGCAATTGGGTACACGCTTTAATAAAACGATGCTGTGGAAAAAGATACAGGGTGTTAAAGGTGATATATTATTTTTATTTTTTGGGTAATGATTTCATAAGATAAATTGTTATCAAAAATGGACACAGAGGTATATAGAAGTAAGAAAAATTATTTCACTTATTTTACATTTTGTTGTAAGGGGCGTCATATGAGCGATCCTTGATAATGAAATTGGACCATACTCTTTTTGACGAAACTTTTTGGTAATTTTGATTGTAAAACACGACATAAACATAATTTGATAGTAGTATTAATATAATTTATCTATGTAAGTGTGTGAATTTAGAATTTATTAATTTATTATGTTATTATTATTCATGTAGTTAATTAATTTAAGTAAAGGTTAAGGGAATTTTAATTGGTAATTATTATTCATTTTCAATTTATTGTAGATGTAAACATCATTTATATGCAAAATTGTTGTACTTGTTTCAACTTGATAATTTCAATCGTTTTCGAGAAAAACGCAGTTAAACATTTCAAATTAGGAAAGGAATTTTAAATAAAAAGTAGTAGAAAAACATGTAATTTGGAAAAATAAACAAACAGATTAACAAAATCAAATTGACTTTTCTATATGGCCTCCTTCTAATTGTATGCTTTTCTTATTTCTTTTGATAAAGGATTTTCTGACATTAAAAAAAAATATTATTCTGACAACAGTTCACTCCAGTCCCTCAAGAAGGTAACCTTGTTACCGAAAAGTGCTTCAGACAACTACAGTGTCGTGTTTTGGCGTTGGGGTTTGAGCTATTTTGTTTGTTCTACAACAACCGCCAAAGTTTTTCCAATCTTTATATTTTTCCAATCTTCATATTATTCTGACCCTTAATAAAATTAGTCACATCTTGTATTTTTTCTCAGAGTTCATTTTCTAAAGGGATTTCATTGGTATAAACTAAGGACTTCATGTCCCCAAACAAAAATATCCATTGGATTGTAATCAGGACTTCATGGTGGCCATGGAAAGTCACTTCCTCCGCCAATCCATGGTTGATGAAATACTTGATTAAGATGATTTTTAACTCCTACTGGGTAATAACGTGATGCTCCATCTTGCATAAACCACACTGTTTTTTTTTTGATTTAGTGAAAGATAATCCAAAATGTTCACACCCTGACGTTGTACCCAAATTTTATTATTTGCCTAGGATTATTGATTTCTCAAACAGATACATATAATATGTACATCACAATAAATACATATACTCAAATTAATAATAATCTGAAACTGTTTTATATCAAATACCAGCCGCTATAAATTGATAACTGAATTGAAACTTGAACTTTTAACAAACAGTCTCTTATGTTCTTGTATAAACTTTTACAAAATCAGTTACTAATATTTAACCTCATCATCTTACAGTCTCTGAAAGTCTCTAACCAAGAACGACCCATTTTCTTCAGGTATTGTCTACATAAGGTACTGTTACATTCACCTCACGAAATTTGCAGTACCTACCTATAATAACCGTTCTTGAAATGAAACAAATTTAAACCTACTGGAAGTTGATGTTTAATTATTTGGAAATGTTTTTTTTTTGATATTTATTAAACGAATGCCGCGCATCACAATTGGAGTTTTAATAATTCTCAGGGATTTTAATTAGGTAAACTAGCCTTTATCGCCAAGCCTTCTGTTGTTTTGTGTACAAGTGTTTTAAAATTAAAATAGTAAAATGTTTAATTCACAGAAGAAAATTTGTTTCTATATCAGGATACCAAAAAAAAGTTCAATTTTTGAAAAAATTGCAAGCGTATGCATAAAAATGCTCTAGTTTTATTCGTAAACCTTATAATAGTATAAGTCGGGGCGGCATTGGTAAATAATAATAAATATGTGTAAGAAAAAAATAAAGCACACGTCAGTGGTAAGATTAAAGGGATGTAGAAAATGAAAGGAATTCCTGAAGCATGGAAGTGTTGGCGATTGTGTAATTATTTACGATGGGAGTAAAGGGTGGGGGGTAGTGTCAAAAATTGCACTGCTATTGCAATCATGGATTCGGGATATAAAATATTGGCGGAAAGAATTAATAATAAGAAGCAGACTAGAACAGCAAATTATTAAAAAAAAATAAAGGTACCGAGCGTACTAATTTGGTTATATATGCAATTTATAAGATAAAAAATATGATGTAGATACAGTTGGAGAAAAAGAAAAGATTATATTTAATGTTTCATGATCATAAGGTCGTCAGTCCTAAGACTGGTTGGGCACACACCTCCACTCTTTCCTATCCTCAGCTAATCTTCGTATTTCTCTAAAACTACAACAAATCATATCTTTAACTATATGCGAACCGGAACCTCATCATTCGCCTCATTTCGAACTCTTCTAACCTTTTCTTTTCCGCCGCGCCCACTGTCCATGTTTCGCACCCGTACAGCGTCGTGCTACAAACATACACCTTTAACAACCTCTTTCGAATTTCTAAGTTAACTGTTTGCGAGCATGAAGTGACTTCTTTTTATTAAATGCGACTTGACCCTGCGCTATCTTGTGCTTTATATCCCTACTACTTGCATACCATAAAGCATACCAATCTTTTGCCCCTGTATATCTATCCCTACAGTTCTACTGTCTTTAATGATGTTGGTCGCGTCTTAGATATATAGATTAAAAACTAGAGGTGACAGTCTGCATCCCTGCCTGACTTTCTTCCATAATATCTTTGTAACTCATTCCTACATTTTTAAGTATATTTAACATCTTGTTCCATTTAACAATGTCAAAAGATTTTTCTAAATCTACAAATCCTATGTACGCACTCTTTCTTTTTTCTATCGTATTCTCTATTGTTACCCATAAAGTCAGAAAGGCCTACCGCGTTCCTCTATTTCTTCGAAACCCAAATTGATCTTCCCCTAATAGTTCTTCCGCACTTTCCTCCATTCTCTTCTGTACAATTCTAGTTAAGATTTTTGACGCATGGGAAGTTAAGCCAATTGTTCTAAATGTCTCGCACCTATCCGCGCCATTTTTCTGGGGCTTTCCCCGTCTCGTAAATGTGAGTAACTAGCTTAAACATACGATCTCTAACCTCTTGTCCTGCATGTTTTAGAATTTCCCCCTGTATCCTATCTACACCTGACGCCTTATTATTATTCCTTAATGCTAACTCTTCTCTTATTATGGGATAACCTAGCTCATCAATCTCCGCAATATCTTCTTTCTCTAATATGTCTCCTAACTCATAGCCTGCGTATAGGTTCTCTATATATTCTTTCTACTTATCTGCCTTTTCCTCATTTTCTATCAAAATGACCCCTGTTTCGTTTCTTATATTATTACTACTGTACCCTACGTCTCTAAAATTCCTTTTAATTATATTTTAAGCCTCATTGGTTTTACCTACTTCAAACCTTTTTTCTACTTCTTTACACATTCTATCAATCTACTGTTCCTTAGTCGTCCTACACTTCCTAATTATTTTCCACTTTATAGCCTTATATCTTTTTTGGCTTCTTCGTCTGTGGACGAAAAGAGCAGGGAAGATGATGAATATATTAATATACGTGGGGTTGAAAGGAGTTAATGGAGTTTTATAGGGAAACAGCTGTTAGCAATAGTAATGAGAGTTATTTGTAAAATGGGAGAAGAAAAAGACATGGACTATTCCATATGCAGATGATGATTTTGTGGGATTGAAGAGAATGGTAGGAAAGCTAGAAAAGTATTTATTAAAGAAACGGCTGGAGCTAAATAGTGAAAAATCAAGAGTTATGGAAGTTGGGAAGAAAAGAGGAAGAAAAGAAAGGGAAAAGAAAATAGTATGGAAGGGAATACAGGCAGAAAAAAGTGAGGAATTATCCATATTTAGGAAATAGTAAGGATGAGGTACATGTTAGGTAGGAAAATATGTAATTATAATTTGGGTAAGAAAAAGATGTCATTGGATGTGATGGTTAGGAATATACTGTTTTATGCAGTGGAAATATGGGGATGGTCAGAAAAAGCAGAAGTTTTATATTTAAAAGAAATATCAAGTGGGTGTCGCAATTACAGAGAGAGGTACGTCACATTATCGAATAAGAAGGGAGACTAAATGTGGGAAGATGTGGA